ACAACGCATTTTGTATTGTGCCTGCCACGAAATCTGCACATGGAGGTTCACAAAGTGCTGCACCTGCCACGACATCTGCACATGGAGGTTCCCAAAGTGCTGTGCCTGCCAGGAAATCTGCACATGGAGGTACACAAAGTGCTGCACCTGCCACGCAATCTGCACCTGGAGCTGGAGTTGCCTGGAGCTTGAGCTGTTGAAACCAGAGCTGGTGTATGAGTGGTATGATGAGTGGTGTGTGATCAGTGGTGTGTGATGAGTGGTGTATGATGAGTGGTGTGTGATGAGTGGTGTGTGATGAGTGGTGTATGATGAGTAGTGTATGATGAGTGGTGTGTGATGAGTGGTGTATGATGAGTGGTGTATGATGAGTGGTGGTTGAACAGCTGTTGAATGTCCGTAACACGGAAGTTTTGCACACTAAACTTCCTTTGATTATATGTATATTATTGATTTCAGATCAGATCGGGTGTTGCGAAAGCCAGCCGAAGGCCTAGGCCGAAGGTCTGTAAACTGTGTGAGTATTAGGGGGTGTGGGGGTGGGTGGTTGCCTGGTGGTCTTTTTTGGAAGGGTGAGCCCAGGTCTTGCTGGGGGAGAGCGAAGAATTTGGTGGCAGAAATTATTTGTAAGTTGTGGAAGGCTGTGGCGGCATTTTTTGGAGTTGTTCCCGAAAGCATTGCGAAGGGTTCTTCCGGAAAATCCTTTGAACACTGACACTTCGACACTTACACTTCGACGCTCACACTTACACACACACACACTGGAAGAGCGAAAGCATCCAAGTGCGAAGTATGCCAGTGTCAAAGTATGCAAGTGTAAGTATGCAAGCATGATATGCAAGCGTGAGTATGCAAGCATGCAATGACTATGCAAGCATGCAATGAGTAGGCAAGTGTGAGTATGGAAAACTAGCACGGGAGATGTCCTAATGAAAAAACATTTCCCCACTTTATAAATTCTCTCTCAAAGGCGGAGGGCGGGACGAACAGCGTCAACCGAAAGTGCAACCCTCTGCGGAGATCGTGCGTGTCGAGTGCGCGAAATGCAGGCGAGAGTGCGATTTGTCCGGTCCGCGCGCAACCCTCTGCGGAGATCGTGCGTGTCGAGTGCGCGAAATGCAGGCGAGAGTGCGATGTGCCGGGTGCCCGTGCGACCCTCTGCGGAGATCGCGCGTGTCGAGTGCGCGAAACGCAGGCGAGAGTGCGATTTGGCGGCTGCCCGCGCTACCGTCTGCGGAGATCGCGCGTGTCGAGCGCGCGAAATGCAGGCGAGAGGGGGATTTGCCGGCTGCCCGCGCAACCCTCTGCGGAGATCGTGCGTGTCGAGTGCGCGAAATGCGGGCGAGAGGCGTGGAGTATCTGGGGAGCTGGGAGATGAGCACTGGCGACTTTGTAGTACAACTGTAGTACGCGGAGTAGCTGGGGAGCTGGAAGCTCAGAACTGGTGACTTTGTAGTACAACTTTAGTACGCGGAGCAATCTGTGGAGCTGGAAGCTGAGAACTGGCGACTGCGTAGTGCAACTTTAGTACGCGGAGTAGCTGTGGAGCTGGAAGATGAGAAGTGGCGACTTGGTAATACAACTTTAGTACGCAGAGTAGCTGGGGAGTGGGAAGATGAGAACTGATGAGTGGGTAGTAGCTGAGAACTCGCGATTTTGTAGTACAAGTTTAGTACGCGGAGTAGCTGGGGAGCGGGAAGATGAGAACTGGTGAGTGGGTAGTACAACTTGAGGGCGTGGAGTATCTGGGGAGCTGGGGGATGAGCACTGGCGACTTTGTAGTACAACTGTAGTACGCGGAGCAGCTGGGGAGCTGGAAGCTCAGAACTGGTGACTTTGTAGTACAACTTTAGTACGCGGAGCAAGCTGTGGAGCTGGAAGCTGAGAACTGGCGACTGCGTAGTACAACTTTAGTACACCATGGGGCCCCCCTAGTTAGACTACTTGTAAGTATCCTATGTATGGTTTTAACTTGGTGTAACTATGGTTTTAACTTGTTGTAACTTGGTGTAACTAAATTAAGTCTCACCGGTAGTTCTATGTAAGTTACATCTTAGATGGTTAGTTATAACTTAGTTGTAAGTAAGGACCACGGTAAGTTAAAAAAAAGTTACGGAAGTTAGTTTTTTATGTCTGAAAATCATCTTTTTTCACATGTCTGAAAAAATGATGCCCAGGACCTGTTTTTCCTATATTTTTTCATGAAAACATTGATTTTTTGATGCTGTAAGCTCATGTAGTCGTTGACGTGGGTTTGCATAGAGGTTTCCGTGTTCCTTGTTTTTTGTGTTGTTGAGCAGGGAAGTTGTGTATACGGCAAGCCGCAGGAACCTGTTTTCTCTATTTTTGTATTGAAAGATCTGTTCATGCACTTGTTGACGTGAGTTTGCGTAGCTGTTTCCACGACGTTGTTTGTTTTTCCTGTTTGTTGAGCAGGGATGTTGCGTATGCGGCAAGCCGCAGGAACCTTGCGGTCCCCGCACGCGGCCCAGCCGCACGTTCCAGCAACATCGCGGCTCTAGCATCAGCCCTTTGATTCCCAGAGGCTTTGGTACCGTCTTTACATCTGCCCAGGCCAAAAAATATACAAGTGGTATCCGGGTGGTATCCGCTGGTATCCGGGTGGTATCCGGCGGTATCCGTGTGGTATCCGGTGGTATCCGGGTGGTATCCGGTGGTATCCGGGTGGTATCCGGGCGGTATCCGGTGGTATCCGGGTGGTATCCGGTGGTATCCGGGTGGTATCCGGGTGGTATCCGGTGGTATCCGGGTGGTATCCGGTGGTATCCGGGCGGTATCCGGCGGTATCCGGGTGGTATCCGGTGGTATCCGGGTGGTATCCGCTAGTATCCGGGCGGTATCCGGCGGTATCCGGGTGGTATCCGGTGGTATCCGGGCAGTATCCGGCCGGTATCCGTTGGTATCCGGGTGGTATCCGGTGGTATCCGGTCGTATCTGGGTGGTATCCGGTGGTATCTGGGTTTCCGATTTTGGATGTATTGATTTTGTACCTTAGAGAGGTATTAACCTGTTCTTTGTTTGGCGGCATTCCGCCTATATGGCTGTTCTTTTGTGGCGGCGTTCCGCCTTTATGATTGTTCTTTAAGTTTGGCGGCATTCCGCCTATATATATATGTATATAAATAAATATATATGACCGTTCTTTGATTGTTTGTTTGTTTGGCGGCATTCCGCCTTGTTGCGGTTTGTTCGTTTGGCGGCATTCCGCCCACATCACAACACGGACACACACACACACACATTTTGGCGGTATTCCGCCCACACACATACATTGATGCGGAATGCCGCGCGCATAGAAACATTAGGCGGTAGTCATTTTTCTAAGGTTTTTGTTATGTTTTTTGAGAAAAATTATGTTTTGCAAGTTTTTTGCACACAGTTTCATTTTTGCAAAGATTTCATCATCTTTCACGCTCAAACTAGTTACAGAAGTTAGTAACTTCCGCAACTTTACTTATAACTAAGTTATGATAAGTTCAATATAACTAACTTATAACTTTTTTAAGTGTGGTATCTTAAGTTATAAGTTCTTTAACTAGGGGGGCCCCATGGTGTACGCGGAGTAGCTGTGGAGCTGGAAGATGAGAAGTGGTGACTTGGTAATACAACTTTAGTACGCAGAGTAGCTGGGGAGTGGGGAGATGAGAACTGATGAGTGGGTAGTAGCTGAGAACTCGCGACTTTGTAGTACAACTTTAGTACGAGGAGTAGCTGGGGAGCTGGAAGATGAGAACTGGCGACTTGGTAGTACCAATGTAGTACGCAGAGCAGCCGGGGAGTGGGAAGAGGAGAACTGGCGACTTGGCAGTGCAACTTTAGTACGCAGAGTAGGGCGACTCGGTTTTTTCCGTGAGATTCCCTGCAGCCGTGCACGCTGCTTCTCCCCTTACCAGCAGCCCAAATGTTCACGACGATGAGCTGGGCTGTCACCGCTTGGCCGCCGGTGGGGGTTTGGGAGGCCTGCGCGCTACTTCGTTCATCTCCTCTGGCAGGTCACTGCTTCGAGACTCTTCTGGCGTGGCTGCCTCAGCATTTTCTGTGTTCATTCCAGCTGGGTTTTTTCAGTGAGATTCCCTACACCCGTGCACGCTGCTTCTCCCCTCACCAGCAGCTCACATGCTCATGACGATGAGCTGGGCTGTCACCGCTTGGCCGCCGGTGGGGGTTTGGGAGGCCTGCGCGCTACTTCGTTATCTCCTCTGACAGGTCTCTGCTTCGAGACACTTCTGGCGAGGCTGCCTCAGCATTTTCTGTGTTCATTCCAGCTGGGTTTTTTCAGTGAGATTCCCTACACCCGTGCGCGCTGCTTCCCCCCTTACCAGCAGCTCACATGCTCATGACGATGAGCTGGGCTGTCACCGCTTGGCCGCCGGTGGGGATTTGGGAGGCCTGCGCGCTACTGAGTGCATCTCCTCTGACAGGTCACTGCTTCGAGACACTTCTGGCGCACCTGCCTCGGCACTTTTGTGTCCTCATTCCGGTTCGTTTTTTTCCGTGAGCTTTTCCTGGCGCTGTGCACGCTGCTTCTCCCCTTACCAGCAGCCCAAATGCTCACGACGATGAGCTGGGCTGTCACCGCTTGGCCGCCGGTGGGGGGCTTGGGAGGCCGCATCACACACAGACACCCACACACTCCCTCAACTTACACGAACACACACATACGCAGACTCATTTCCACACGGACATAGACACACGCACAGAAACCCACACACTACGTCAACTCACTCGACTTCACACTTCTCACTGCACACTTACCGGATAACTCGCACTCTGACTTCCTACGTGATGAAAAATGCTTTCGGGCCACTCGTCGTCTAGTACTCTTTTATAAGCAGCGTGGCCTAGTGTGGCCAAACTAGGGGTTCTCACAGTAGGTGTGAAGGCAGGATGTTGATCGGTGGTGCTCATCGGCGTGCCTGGCTAATTCGTTGCTAATTGCATCTAATTACGCTACATTCATGCCGCTCAAGATCTTCGAAGTGCATTGCGACTACGCAGAGAGCATGTGCTTTCGTCGACTGCGCTCTTGTTGTGGCGCCAAGCACGTTTTCGGGCTTGGTGGCCGCTTTTAGTGCCACGCAGGCCCCGTGTTTTGGTGTCATCGTGCGTGGGCAGTGCTTTGGACATGGTGGTGGTCTTCGGCGCGCCCCTGATTTCGTGGCGCGCGGAAATGTGAAGTGTGAACCTCGAAGTAGTGGAGATTTTGCGGCACGCGTAGCATTCTGTGAACTTGGAGGTGCATATTTCGTGGCAAGAACAGCATGTTGTGAAGCTGGAAGGGCTGATTGCGTGGCAGCAGCATTTTGTGCTCTTTGTATATGTTTCCAGAATCCAGATCTCCAAGGCTCTAGATTTTTGGGCCCCCTAGACCTCTAGCACCTCACGGTCGAGATCTCAATCATAGGTGACAAGTTGGGAGATTCCAAGGCCCGGCCCAGCGATTAGTATATAACTTCTCTTTCGCAATCCTTTTACCTCTCTCAAAATACCAGGGATTTCAATGTCTGGACTTCCCAAACTCTAGACCTAGAGACCTCTCACTCAAATCTCCGGATCTCTAGACCTCTAGACCTGTCCAGATTTCTGCGTCGAGGCCTGCAGGTGTCGAAGCCTTTAGACCTAGAGCTTTTGGTCCTGGTCTCGGCTCGAGACCTCTCTCTGGATTTCTTGGCCTTAGATCTTACTAGGCTGCAAACCCCTGGACCGCAACAATTGGACGGCAAGAACTCTAGACTGCTAGATCTTCTACCTCCAAGATCTGTCTGGCTAGGACCCTTAGACCGTTAGACCTGTCTGGATCTCTAGACCTCTGGAACCCAAACGCGTAGATCTCTAGACCTTCTGCTTGTGTACTTCCAGACCATTCCAGACCTGACCTCAAGGTCTCCAGCATGAAACTCTGGACATATGTGAGTGGTTCTCTTTCACGCCTCCATGAAATGGGCTAGTGCTCTTTCACGCCGTGTGTTCGCTGAATCACTAGCAAGGGCTGTGGCGCTTAGGCAACTATATATGTACACATAATTTCTTTTCATGTCGACAGTCGGCCTTCGTGTCAACAATTGTGAATAGCAAGAAACAACATATCCTTAGACAACCTTACTGTGATGAGCACTTGGCCATACAAATGACAGATGATGTTTCTCATTCGTTGGCGCGGTTAGTTGAGGACACGCGCGCACACACACACATATATATATATATATTAAATATATATATACATACACGTATATATATATATATCAATGTCAAGACATATCTATAAATAGATATGTTTTCTTTTTTTCATATATCGAGCTTGTGAATGCACATGAGGACACACACACATACACACACACACATATATATATATATATGCACCCAGTAGCGGCGGAACCCATGTATGTGGAGCTGAGACGTTGCGAACGTCATTGTTTGGGAGGCAGAGATGTTTCACAAGCCGAACCATGTTACGCTGTGTGATGGATGGCGGGAAGAAAAACCTGCCAGGAGTGAGGGTTGCGGCGGCCCATGCAGTTGAACATGTGGCTTAATTTCGTGTTTGACTCTTCCAGACTGTTTGATGGGCACGTCGATCCCGTGAGTCCCGTCGGGGCGGGCCCGTCTGGCCCGTTGGTCCTTCTGAAACCCTGGTCACTAAAAAACATCAGCCGGGCTGGGGCACTGACGAATCGATGTTTCAGATCCTGCCTGCCTTCGGTGGGGCCGACCTTCTGTTTTCCCAAAGCAGCAGCCCGAAATGTCCATGAGGCATTTCGCGTCCAACACAGCCCGAGAAGTCCTACAGAACAAAAGGGAAAGGACATCTATATGGACATCGATATGGAAGGCACACGTTCTTGTCGGATTTCTTCGCAACGTACGGCTACTGTAAAGGGTTGAACAACAGCACAGCAGGAACCTGTACAGTAGCAACCCTGTAGACATGTCAAGGTAGGTCTAGCATTGATGGCGGGATGTGAGCTTGCACTGAGTAGTCGAATATAGTCGAATAAAAGAAGAACAAACATGTGTAATTAAGAAGTATGGTGCCCCCTCCAAGAACAATCATGTTGTATTTTGTTCCTCTTAGTTGGCTGCCTTTTTTTTTTCCTTCTTGGCCTTGTGGCGCACCGGCCAGGTCTTCTGGTCCATGCTGCGTCTACACCACTGACTCATTTGGCCGGCAAGACGTTGAGAGAAGTTTTTCCATCGCCGCATACTTCTCTCCTCCTGCAATCGTTGCCCAGCAGTTTTCTTTTGGGGTGGGTGGGTGGGCGACCTTGAATGTGCTTGAATGCCATATTTGGTTTAACTCGAGCCTTTGCACAAGTGGTCCATCTGTTGGGTGCCCTGACACTTTGCTACTAGTAGCTGCATTTTTGCGGATTGCTACCCATCGCAACCTCCTGCTTTTTCTGCTGGCAGAGGTAGTTGAGTAGGTAGTTGACCTTTTGGCAAGACCACCTGGTGAGGTATTTCATGGCTGTCGTGTTTTTTGTTTGATGGGTGTGCTTCCAGCTAAAAAATCAATCATGATGAGAAAAGAAGCAGATAGAGCAATAGACTGTGGAGTATGGCACGTTTGGTTTTGGCCCGCCCCTGGTCCCAAGGTTGCATTCGGAGGCTAAGATTTCGCAGAGGCCTGAGCTCATGTTCAACAGAGTCCTTTCATACAAGGCCTGGCCCTGTTCGATGGCACATTAAAAGTTGGAGGAAAAAATTCGAGAGCTACAGTACCGTGAAGTGTTTGGCATTCCCTTCGAAACACCTTTAAGTGCAAATTTTAGTATGATGGCAACCTTTTCAGTCTTGTGCCCACAGTGACAGCGGCTCATGACAGGAGCTTCCTTTGGTTGGCGTTGCGCAGGGCATCAGTGGAACAATGCAGCTGACCAAGACACTCTGCCGCATTGCGCCACACCTGCGCAATCTCTTGGTGTAAGAAGCTTTCCCAAACATAAGGTTCTGCAGAATTGGCATCGCTTCTTACAGAATTCATTTTTCAGCTTCCATGGTCCAAGCCATGCCTCCCTCTCTTCTCAATGTGCAGTTCCCCAAATTTAGCAATGCATTCCTGAAAGGGGAGCTACGCAGCTACTCCCAACTAGGAGCAAGAAGCTACTAGGAGCAAAGGGCATCGCTACTGGGGCAAGGAGGCTACAAGGGGCTCCTGGCCCTACCACTAGGAACAAGAAGCTACTAGTAACGAAGGGCATCGCTACTAGGAACAAGGACGCTATTAGGGGCTCCTGGCATCGCTACTAGGAGCAAGGTAACCAGTTTCGCTCATTGGCTTTGGTGTTGCAGGGTGACTTGACTTTGTCATAAGGGTCATCGTAAATTAGCGCATCTCATGGTGCTATCCCGCTGCTTAGGACCCGATATGATCAAGTCCATGTTCTGATGGCTTTCGCCACCTGTCAGCCAGAGAGGCTTGGAAAAATGTTGGGATGCAAACCAACAAGCAATCCAATTTGCCCTTAGATTTAGATGCCTGTTGAGCTGTTGCCCTTGCCAAACTGACAGCCTTCCGCTCTATAGCAATTTACATGTATATGGATGTCCATGTTTTAGGCCCAGGTTATGCATGTGAGAAAGTCCAAGGAAATCTAATCGAGTGGGGGATCAGCATTAGCTTGCCATCTCTATGCATGAAGGATAGCTTGAGTAGCATAAAAAGTATTGTGTATGTTCATCCCATAGTCACCACATCGCTTGGCAGACCGTTGTGCTGCTTTTTGGGTGAGCTTGCACGTGGGAGGGAGAGGGTGTTCAAAATTAGTGATTGGATAATTGGTTATGATACTGGTGCTCATGGATGTGATTTCGGACCCGGCACGGGGGCAGCCCGGCCTGGCATGAGCGCTGGTTTCGGTATTGCGCATGAGCACTGCTCAGTCAAAATAGCACCACGTTTCGCCAAAGAAACCGGGCACCATTTTCAGATGTTGCCACGTGACCAGACAACTTGCCATCGCTACAATCGGCAGAGCAGACTTGCCTCATGCATGCACCACTTTGTTGTTGCCACACTTGGGGCACCACACCACAAGCGCTCACTCAGCATCACACTAGACAGAACTGAACTGACCCTTCAGGATAAGAACGGTGGCGCTTCGACTAGCAAACAGTAAGTAGAACAGCATTTGCAATTCTTGTCAGAACGGTGCAGCCACTGCACGTCAGAAATCAGTTCAAGGATGCAGTGAAAAGGGCAGTTCATTTACTGTAAGAGACCTCAAAATTCATCGCTCGGCATTTCAACATTAGATCTATGCACACATGATGAGGTCGTAGGGCGCAGGACTTGGAAAACCAATAGCGAAGCCTCCTCCTGAGACTTTGTCTTCAGGGTTTTGAGGGTTCAAAATGGAGCGAGCTGGAACGAAGCCTAAACAACGCGACAAAGCCTCACACGAAGCCCAAACAAATGGAAGAATCGGATTGAGAAGACACTGGACCAAGTGCCCCGGACAAGAGATTGGACTCGCTGGTGTCGGGATGTGTCGGGCACTTGACATTGGACGGCAGGTGGTAATCCAACTACACGAAATGTACCCCAACTCGTGCCAATCATTGGAAATCGAAGTCGTTTTCAATGTTCCTGGTTCACAGTCGTGTGCTCCCTTTGTTGTTTGGCCGGGTTGGAGCAAAAAGTCGCGCCAGGAGCAGATTTGAACGCCGCACTCGGCACAAGCCCTCGTATCAACTCCAGAAATCTTCTTCCCTGACGTCACTGTAAGACTGAGCTGGAGGCTGGAGCCCCTAGGTTCAGAGCTGTGCAGATGAAGGGTGTACAGCCCACCGCAATGGCGGTGTTTTCCTGGCTGTGAGAGGGGTTGGCTTGAGCAACCTTTGGGCGAGACATGGCGATACAATGCGATACACTTGCTTTTGTAGCCAGGTAGTTTGAGAGTGGTTGGCCCGCTGGTGTGTTGCTTGGATTTTTTAAGCCTGCTCCTGCAGAATGTCTTTTTTTTTCGCACTCTCCGGAGTTGTGACACCCAAGAAGGGTACCCTGGGCAAGCAGTTTTTGTGGGCCCGCCGTCGACGGCTGTCTTCTCCAGTTCACTAAGCCTTGACACTGATGGCAGTCTGGCCCCCACAGAGGCTTTGGACTAGTAACTTGTAACTCCCTGAACGCGGGTCGTGAACATGGCGGAGCTTTGCAGGGGGGGCTGACCGGGTGATTGTCGCTTTGCTGCGAAAGAGTCCAGCATAGAGGGCGGACTGAATGGTCAGAGGGGGAACGTGCCCGCCTTAAAGGCCCTTATAATATACATCATTTGCTCTTTCAGAGTTTTGAGTAATCAGTTTGTGCGAGTAGATCCGCAAGCTTCTACGGGTGCGTGCTGACCATTCGGAGTTGTTCAGAAGTCAAGCTTTTGCACACGGTGTTTAGTATCAGTGGCGTTTCCGGCAGCATGACAAGTTTGTGACACCAGCCCTTGCTAGCCTTCCTTGGCAGCAGTGTCAACGATGTCAAATGTGAAAGAGGAGCCTACTGCCGCACTACTCCACTAGTCCTGTTGAGTAGCAGGACCCGGCCGAGCAACTGGAAGCTGTTGACGAGTTGTTTCTACAGCACCATGGCGGACACAGGGTTGCAGCAGGTTGGGCAATAGCTGCTAGGGCGTGGGCACGACATGGAGCTTTTAACCTTCAGAGGCAGAATTGTTGAGCGTTCTGTCACAATAGCAGGAGTCTGCAGAATTGTCAACGCCCCCTGAGGTTGCACAATGGTGTATGTAGTGTCTTGCCAAGTTGCACATGTTCCATCTCAGCTTAACTGGCTACTTGCCACTGGGCTTTCAGCCAGGTTTTTATGCAAAACTTCGCTCTGAGGTTTGAGAAAACCTCGCTGGACACACTGTCACCACCTCAGCGGCGGGATCGGGACTGTGTGCAAGTATATTGAAATAGCATGAAATAGCATCTAATTGATATATGACATGGATAGTTCGAGCGCCACACAGGCGTCTTTGTGAGACAGCGAGACCGCTTGGCCAGGAGAGAGAAAGATAGCACATGCCACACGGAAGCCTATGTGAAAAAATTGGTAGAACGGAATTCAACACGTGCTTGACTGCCGTGCATTGGCTCCTTGGTGCGGAACACCGGATGGGAACAGCTTGATCACGACTTAGAAGCACAGAAGCGTTGAAAGAAACGGTGTGTCCTCCAGCTGCGCCTGTGTCTCGGGCCCAAGAGCGATGCCAAGCAGGTACGAGATACTGCGTCCAGCATCTCACCCAACCGAAAACCATAGCTTTGTTAGCACGGCTAGGTGACCGGTCATGTTGTGCAACCAAAATTTCAACAACATGATCCAAACAAGCTCCAACTTCCAAGCCGACGAGTCGAGCGAGCGACGAGTGCAAGCTTGCAGAACGCATAGCCGATGCAAAGACAACGGTTTGTTCTACTCGTAGCGACAAAGGGGCCCAAAAGGAAGCAAATGGTGATCACCATCCCGTAGGTGCGTGCAATCTGCGTCCTGATTTGAAGTGTGTTCGTTGAGCCGTGACTTCAGATATTCATGCCCACTTCTCCCTGCAAAAGCAAAAGCAACCTATGAATCCAAGGTGTACGCACACAAAAACACACAAAACAAACACACACACACTCATGGATATGCGTACGGACTTGATAGCGGTGCCACACGCCGGCCTAGGGTTCCAATTCCTAAGGGTACAGGTAAGGAAACCTAGAAAAGGAGGAGGAGGTCCATCCAGCGGAGGTCCCAAGGGTTTCAGGTGGCCAGCAACTCCAAAAGAAAACACCGATCGAGCGGACGACCAGGTGACGACGTACGTGCAGAAAGCCAAATTCATCGCCGCTGCAGTAGCCCTTTACTGAAGGAAACAACGAAGTAGACAGCTTGTGCTCTACGTAGGTTTTTCTTTGGCAGGTACGTCGATTTGGCGTCCCAAATCGATTTCACAGACCAATGCAAGCGTCTTTGCAAGCGTCTTTGTTAGTGCCAGACTTGCATGGTCCCTGGCACCCCCTGCTGTAAAACAAAACAAATGCAAAAGCATCCCTATGACTCCAAGGGTGACACACACACACACACCCAAACGGTTACAGACGGCATATATTTCAGAGGCTTGGTGCAGGACAGCTCGCTCAGCGATTTTCCAGGGATGTGATGTGTCAAGACTTTGTTTCCTCCGCTGTTTGTTAGTTTTAGTCTTTGTTCCTCACTGGAAGGGTGATGTGATGGCGCATGCTTCAGTAGGTGGACCGCTGTTGAATGCGGTCAAGGCATTGAATTTTTGGGGTGGCCATCCAGGCTCAAGGGAAGATGGCAACCGACGAGGACTGTTTGGTCCGGCAGGATGCCTCACAGAACGGCCCGCAGGGCCGAGAGGGGCAGATCCTGAGATGTGTGAGGCCAGCAGCTTGGTGGGTGACGACCACAGTGGCAGCCTGCGGGGCAATTGCAGTGCTCGCGTGCACCTTCCAGGGGGGAGCTGAACGGAAGGTGGGGCTGCCTGTGCTCCGAGAGCTCAACGAGGACGACTTTTTCACGCCCTTTGATTACGTTGCTGCCATCAATCCAACCACCACAGCCCCAGCCAATCCAGAAGAGGGGGGCATGATCCCTCACATTGAAAAGGGCGTGGAATTTACAGGTGCTACTCGGTTTGTGTGGAGGAATGTGTTGATTCCATCTGAATGCTGCGCACGGTGTCAAAATGATGCCCGATGCAGAGTGTGGGTCCTTGACACAGAGACTCATGAGTGCAGCCTCAAATGGGTCGAGCCCAATGGCACCCTGCAGAAAGTTGCCAAACCAACTTTTATCTCAGGCGTGTGGGGTGGGCGCACAGGGGCATGCCATACAGTCAGCATCAGCATCCAAATGTAAACGGTGTTTAAAATATGTATATACATATATATATATATATGAGGCAGTACCACGCAGCATGTTGTACCAAACAATTTCTTTGGATTGATATGAATTAGAGATTCACCTCCACAGCGGCTGGTTTATCAAGCTGAACTGCTGAACCAAATTTGAAACTGAAAGATGTCGAAGTGGACCAAGCACCTCAGGACTACCCTTCCTGTGGACCAAGTCCCGGAGTGTGCTGTGCTTCGCAGTGATGCGGCCAGATACCTATGAGCAAGGCTTGATAGCTTGGCAGTATCGAAAGAAGGTAAACATATTCGCCTGCGACGAATGGGCAGTCTATAGCAGCAGGAAGGTGGATGTGGTGCCTGGCTTTTTGCAATCCTCGATTGTCAACAGCGACCTGAAGTGCGACATGGGAGGCGAGTTCGGCACGGCACTCAACACTGAGATATTCTTCAAGGTTTGGGACAAGGTCTTTGAGGAGAAGCGCTATTTGTTTCATGAGTTTGTGGTGAAGGTCGACCCAGATACTGTCTTCCTTGTGGACCGCTTGCGAGTGGCCATAGCCTTTCACCATGACCAAGATGGTGGGCTTTATTTCAACAATTGTAAATTCGGAATGCATGGGCCCATCGAAGTCTTTTCTCAGAAAGCCGTGGACGTTTGGAAAGGAGGACGCCAAAGATGCGTCGACCATTTTGAGAAGCTTTGCTCAGGGCCTTGCCTTTGGGGCGAGGACATGTTCATTGACCAGTGCCTTCAGAAGGTTCTCAAAGTAAAGAGAGTGAATGATTGGAACCTCATCAGCGAGGCACATTGTGACTCTCCCGATTGGCCAGAGTGCCGCAATGGCCGTGTGACCTTTCATCCCTTCAAGGACAGCTGGTTGGCTGGCTGGCGACTAGCTTTTCAGAACCATTTCCTACCCTGAGACGTTGTGCACAGAATCATGATCATGGTCATGATCATGCCCTTGTTACTAGTAGTAATGCCCTTGTTACTAGTAGCTTCTAGCTACCAGTAAAGTAATGCCCTTGTTACTAGTAGCGATAACTTGCTACAAGGGATTCGGCTTGACAGGACTTGGTGTCATACGAGAGGTGCTTGGAGAATGCCGATGCGAAGTCCTGGGATGCCGGGGGCCAGATCGTGACTTGATCTCCTTTTGCCTGCGGCGTGAGAGAATTCGCCACGTCCCATGGATGGGAAATAAGGCCGTTTCACCTGCACTCGCCAAGTTCCACAGTTTGTTGGGCCCTTTGGCACACGTCAACTGGAACTGAGTGTGTTGTCTAGGACGAACGGATGATTGTTGCGGACATGGCGACCTCTGCGGCACTGGTCATTCAGCATGAGATGATATGGACACGTCTCATTTGAGAGGTGTACTTATGGTTTCACTTCGCTGAGATGACGAGTGCCGAACGAATAGCAAGAGTTGTGGCGAAGATGCTCCCCAAAACCAGGTGCATTCATTGTAGGCACATGACAGGACTACCCAGGTGGATTGATGAGTTGCTTTGAGAATTGAAACCATTTGTTTCGACCAGATGTTGTGCTGACAGCATGCAATCGAGGCTTGCAGCTGATCTACTGCCCTGGGTTCTGCAATTGAGTCAGGAGAAGAGAGCACCGGATTCACCGCTCTTGTGTTGACAGTGGCTCACCAAGTGAAAAGCCGAACGCGGCCAGTCTAGGCGACCATGGAGGAGTATCTAAAGACCAACAAGCGCGCCATACAGGTCGCAGGTTAACACGTGTGTTACTCAACACTCAATATCGATCTGAAGTACGGACGAACCCCCATGATCTCCCTAAAATAATTTGAGACTGCTTTTTGGCCTGCCAATGCAACATGCCAAGGTATAACATTATTGTCCAAGAAAACTAAAAACATGTTTGCAGAATGCAGGGTGCCAAGTGCCAACCAGGAAATATCACTGCAATCTAGCATTCAATAGAATCTGAAGCCAACAACACACGAAGCCAAGCAATTCAATCAAGCCAGGGTAAGTACTGAATTTCTCTGGGAGAAAAACTTATAAAGACTGGTCTCGGCGGAATCCAACAAATTCCAAACCGGTGGGGCACAAAGAAATAAAAAGGGATGAACAAAGACAGGAGCCTTACGTTTCTTTTTAGTTCCTTTTTTGTTGTTTTGCCCTGCGCCGATTCTTCTCTTCTCTGTCTTGCCCAGCTCCGGGCAGGACAAGTAGAATACGGTAATTAGTGTGCTGTGGAGTGTTGTGCAGGGGCTAAAGTCTGCAGCTAGAATCCAGAATGGTAGCGCAAGCATACATTTCATCATTGGTCTATAGGTCTGGGCGTTTTCTGGATATTTCTGGATGAACTATATATATATACTGTATTAGTATTTGTTTCGGATTTGCCAGCCTTGCTGCTAAGACTGGGTTACAATGGCAGATTATAATGGGCTAGAGTGCACGGAGGGAAGTGCTTGATTTTATACTAGTTTTTTGCTATCCGTTCATTTTCCCGGTGCTGTAGGGGTATAGTGTGCTGTTTGTTGAGACATGTGCACCAAGCCCACATCCTGCTGGTCAAGCTTAATAGTGTATTCCTTTAATTTCTTAAAGCTGCTTCTCTTACTGCACACTGGACTTGAGACCCTCTCATCATTGGTGAGAGAGGGTTTCTGTAGGCTAGAGTGGAGGAAGTCCGAATAGACTGTTTATTTTTGTCCATGTCGGTCTGTTCATATCGATAAAGTCGACTTCTTGTCAGAATTGCAAACTTCAGTTCAATGCGATAGGGTACAGGAGGGCTGCAAGGCATGCCTAACAGATATATACAGTATAGACAAGATAGGAAAGGTGAATGGTAAGTAATAGCCGACAACACAGATGGAGAAAGGAGCTGATAAAGAGCACTATGTGGAGGGGTGATCATACAGGCACACACACACACGTATAAATTAATAATTTAAATAAACACATATAGAATGATACTGCAACTCCGCGGGGTCATTGGCCTTGGCCAGGAAAGCACAAACCTGGAGCTCCAAACGCAGGTGAGGGGTAGCATGCGGCGTTGACTCCCCTCGTTGACTTCAATCCGCTTCGTACCAGCCATTTTATGCAATTCTATTTTATAGCCCCAGCCAGCCCCAGCATTGAGAGTGACAGTTTTGGGGTCATGGTGTGTGTCCAGCGCCCAGGTGCTTTGGGCTTTATGCCGCTTTTCAGAGGGCACTCCTGAGCAAACACGGTGCCTTGTGGAACAGGTGAGCTGCGCATGCTAATGATAGCGCCCTTGCTCCTAGTAGCGATGCCCTTGTTACTAGTAGCTTCTTGCTCCTATCATGAATCATGATCATGTTCGTTCTTGATCTAACATCACGAGAATCGGGATCAGCAAGCATCCCAGGGCGCCCTGCAGCGCCTAATGCCACTCTTAACCGGTCCGCCGCGCACGTGACCTGGATAAGCAGTTCAGAACCGTAACTAACTAACTAACTAACTATCTAACTATCTAACTATATAACTATCTAACTAACTAACTAACTAACTAACTAACTAACTAACTATATAACTAGGTGATTGGAGGAGTGAGCTCCTTGCTATCTGCTGGCGGTGCTCATTTTGGTTGAAAGACGCTTTCCCATCTTCAACTCCTGTGCGTACTGAGGCAGGAGCAGGCTGGAATGCGAAGCATCCGGACAAAACATTCTGCTCAAATTTATATATGTGTATTGAATTGAACCCATTTGTGTCGCAAGCCTGCACGGTTTTGGTTTGAACCTTGATTCAGACCGACGGTTCCATGGTCTTCAGTGCCGATGCCTACTTCCCATAATTGTTTCTCTTGTCACAATGATTGATGTGAACATGGCTGGCCGGTTTTCAAAAAAGACTCCTGTGACAAATGAATACTGAGAAACGTCTTTTGGCAGCTATGTCTCAGAAAGGCATTTTGAGAAAGGTCGAGTCGAAACTGTAAAGATGCAGTATGAAATTTGGATCAGAATACTTGCCAAAGTGCCTGCCCACGAACATGATTCGGACCTACGTGTACATACAGCCTCCTGTGCTGCGCATTGGTCCGGTTTGTCCAGACAGCTGATCACAGCAACAGGTGTTGCAGATTATCACCAATGTGGCCAGGGCATCTGAGCCTCTGAGAGACGAAGTGATCCATGCAGGCATTGTGGACTACATCACAGAGCGGCGCGTGTCTCAAATGCGCTCGAGCGTGACTGGTGAAATGATCAGCGGAGCAGTCTCAGGTTTCGGGGCAGCGAGCCCCTGGCAGTACTGCAGAAGGCGAAGGGCTCGGGAGAAATGTTGTGGAACTTGGACACTAGACGACGGATGGCCCGAGAGCGTTTAGGTGTAGAGTTACTCTGGTGTACTAATTACGGCGTGCTTGCATTACGATGAAACAGTAAAGTAAAGGCGTTGTGGGATGGTGAAAGAGACAGTGAAAGATGTGAGAGAGGGTGAGAAAAGGCTGAGATGAAAAGGGAGGAGTGAAGCAAAGCCTTTCAGTCGATGTTGATGCAGGTTTGTATGTGTTTTTGCAGTGAAACGTGTGGTCCCAAGTCCTGCCCCAAATATATTTTCTAGTCCATGTTTGTGTGCATTGCTTGAGTAAAATGTGTGGATTCAGGATCCCCCCTAAGATGTCGTCAAGGGGATGCATATGCAGGCTTGCGCTTGTTTTTGCAGCATAATTGTATAATATGTGGATGCAGGTCAAGTCCCAAAGAGGTCTTGAAGCTGATGTTTATGCTGTCTTATGTGCAGAATTATAGTACAGCGTGTGGATCCAGGTAAAACCGTAGAGGGGATTTAACATTGATGTATATACTGTTTTGTGCGCATTTTCGCATGAGAATGTATGTAGTTAGGCCCTGCCTGCAAGATGCATTCCAGCCGAGATGATTAATGCATGTTTGTGTGCTTTCGTCCAGTGCGCATGTGTGGATGTGAAGATTTGAGGTGACATGTTGTGGAAGCGGAAGCTTTTGTAGCCCGATGGTTTTTGCCCCGCAGTGAAGACACACAGAGGAACACACTGCAGCGACAAGGACACAGCTGGCGTGCAACAGATTGCGGAGGTCCAGGGTAATCAAATAATCCACAAGAATGTTGAAACACATTGAAACACTGCATCATACTTCATACAAGTCACAGGCAGTTTTGCCGTGGGCACCTCAAAATCGCCAGATGTTCAAGTTTTGAAACTTGACCGTGCGACAGGGCCCCGTTTCATTGTGACTTGTCGGCACCACCCTGGCCAAAGAAAGGAAGAAAGAACGAAAGAAAGAACCAGACAAAAAGAAACCAACAAATCACATGTTTGGATATGTAGGGATGCCAAGATGTGAGTTGTATGGATGTGCAGATGTGCTGGTGTGGGGTATGCCATTCTGGATATGTATGGAGGTAAGTTGTGATGATGTGTAGTGCACCAGAAATTTGAGGGTGTAAGCTGTCATGTTATGTATTGCACTTGTTTTTTTTAAAGAATCCCTCGCTCAGCCGCCCTTGGGGAAAAACATTGCTTATTTGGATCGGAGCAGGGCGGTTATTTATTCAGTTTGCACCCGTAGATTTTGCACACCCGTTCGCCGTGTTTGCAGGGTGCAATAACATCACGTCCAGCTGAACATGGGGGTTTCCTGTGGGAAGTGCAGGCTGCTGGATTGCTGCGGGCGGTTTGCACTTGGCCATGCACGAAATTCGCCGACGGGTTGCCTGGAGCTTACGGCCCATGGCAACGATGTGATGAACATAATGAGCTCAACTCAGCTTTCACTTCAGATGGTTATATATAGCTTATTATAGCTTAATATGTATGCAGGGGAACCACGATGGCTCCACAGAGGTCCAAGCGCTTGCTGATTGCGTTGTCCCTCTTGCTCGCCTCCAACGACGAAAACGTGCTCATCCACGTGCTGTCCTGAGCCTTTTTCTGAGCTTTGGAGCCTCAGCGACGTGTGGCGGTTAGGTCATCTACCGGGAGCCCGGTCGATGACAAAATGAGAAGGTCTTGCTTAGTTTAAAAGAATGGACCACATGGGACCATATTTGGGACCTCCGGACCACTCCGCTTTGCCCTCAGACCACACTCCGTTTTCTCCACACATGGCAATGCCAAGGTTTGTGAAGCTTTGGCAATGTTGAGGCCCCTTGGCACCGTGTGTAGCAAGTTGATTCAAGCTGGTGCCACTCTTTGCAGTGAGATGGGGCGCCAACCAGGTGTCCATTGAAATTGACTAAGATAAGTAATTGAGGTGCACCCGCAGGTGAAGACATCCACAAGTGAAGCGGTATTTGACAATTGATGCTCAAACAGACAAGCAGAACATGACGATGCAAAAACATTGTCACACATCAAAAACCAGTGTCAGCAAACAGATTGCGAAACCCGCTCCATCGGTCCAAAGCTGGGATTGTGCGATAGCTCAGATACTCTGACCCTCAACACCTTGCAGTGAGACTCGGCTTGCAGAGCATCAGCCTGGACAACATCCCGCCAGTGAGGTAGGATACATCGTGCACCGATCTTTGAGCGGCATTACACTAGGAGCAAGGACGCTACTGGGGGCTCTTGGCATCGCTACTAGGAGCAAGGATGCTACTAGGGGCTCCTGGCCATACTAGCCATGCAGCTGATCATGTCCATTTGTACAGTACGGTGACACCATTTCAGCCAGTCTCACATTGGGTGAGTGACGCTCAGGCTTCTGATACGTGGGGCCATTGAACGGCTGGTCTTTCTACTCGAAACCGCGTCGAGAGAGGCACTGATACGAGACCTGAGCATGCTAGATTCTTGACTGCTCCACGACCAGTCCGCATCTGGACTGCATGCATGCACTTCTGATACCAGCAAACCAGGACGCATTTGACAAACCTGCAACTTGTCACCATTTTGTACTATTGAAACTATAATCAGGCCCCTATTCTGGTCTTATTTGTGACCTGCTTCTTTCGCTTCCATCATGGCTAATTCTGGCTTGAGTGATGTTTTGGCTGCCGCAGGTGCAGGCAAGAGCTTGCCATGCGCTTCAACGTGTAGCCTGCGCCAGCACGAGAGGTCTGTGGGCCTGTTGTTTCCCCATGGTCAACAGGTCAGCAGAAGCGTGCGGTCCAACATGAGGGTCACCTTGTTTGCAAGGTTGTTGATCCTCGGTCCCAATTGATAGGCTCAGGTAGGAGCCACATCCATTTTGAATTTGAAACGGTTATGCTGGTTATTGGGTTGATGGAGTGGCCAGTTTTGCGACACTGGAGGCATGCAGGCGCTGCTGGTGTGCGAGCCGCTACCTGCTCTCAAGGACAGTATTTTAGAGATTCTCAAGGTTTTACTAGTAGCTTCTTGCTACTAGTAGTAATGCCAGGAGCTACTAGTAGCGTCCTTGCTCCTAGTAGAAATGCCCTTGTAACTAGTAGCTTCTTGCTACTAGTAAGCTTCTAGACAGTTATGAGCAAGAATGGGACTTCGCGACCCAAGTGGTCTCGAGGAGATGATGGAAAGTGAGGATCCAGCAGTGCAGCTGGAGGGAACCGTGTGCTGAGCTCACCAGCAAGGGCATTTCTAAGAGCAAGGACGCTACTAGTAGCTCCTGGCTTTACTAGTAGCAAGAAGCTACTAGTAACAAAGGGCATCGCTACTAGTAGCAGTTGCTCCTGGCATTACCACTAGGAACCAGAAGCTACTAATAACAAGTGCATTGCTACTGAGTCCAACCTGAAGAGTGCAGCGTAGACCGCGACCTCCGAACCAAGGCTGGTTGCAAACACCATTGCATTCGGAGGACCTCATGTGGAAGAGGTCTTGAAAATAGGCGCCCAGGCAGCACTCAGACACCCAAGAGGACTGTTGTACACTGAAATTGCACGACATGACATTGACATTGCTGGTCGTCCACCTGTGACACCAACTTCGGGTAGAGCCTGCCAGACATGATGATGTATGCAATCCGCTTTTTGGGTAGTTTGTTCCCTCTCCTAGCCTGCAAACAAAAGCATGTTTTTGGCTCAGAGATCCTATCAGCCCTGGGTTGTGGGACCTCATAGCTGAGCCATGGACGACACGCCCTCCAGCAGGGGTCTGTCACTCAGTTCGAGTTGTTCCTGGGAATCCGATGGGGACTTTCGCGACTTACAGCAACTTGACGATGTTCCAAATTGGATTCGCAGTCACTCAGATTTGCACAGCATGTGATTCCTTCTGACCAAGGCAGCCCAGCAAGCCAAGCAAGTCGCAAGAAGGAGAGACGGCTGCCCACTTGGCCACTTGGTCCTCGCAAGAGGAATCAGAACTTCGTTGCTTTAAGAGGTGTTTGTCCCAAGAGCCATTTTCTTCCACTTCCATCCATAGTTCTAGATTCTAGATCTTTCTATATGAGGGTGGCCAATGAGTCAGCGTGTTTACCCCTTTTCCGATCTTTTGGTGGTTGAACCGCCTTAAACAATGCCCTTTAAAGTGTAATCCATTTTCTTGGAATTCGTGACGCGCAACCGTGGTAAGGGAAGACCTGGAGACCAAGAAGATCAATGCAGCGTGTGCCATGGATCGTGTCGAATTCCTAGCTACCACCAGGACCGTGAGAATTTATGGAACCAAGTCTTCATAGCTTTGCGATCCTCAAACAATCTACTGTAAGCTTTGAACCTATCATCTCAGCTTGACGCAAGATAATTGCCTTGACCCCCCAAATCTAGGAACCAGACGAGCAGTGCGAGTGCTTGGCCCAAGGAAGCTCCCCCCTGGAGAAGCGTCAGCTTTTTCCTGCGAGGCTTAGTAGCTACCTCTTACTACTAGCTACTTCTTAGGTACTACGGCCTAACCCTCCCCACCCCTGTAAAAAAGTTTCTAGTTTCCCTACAAATTCAGAAACCAGATCATTTGTGCGAGCGCTTCTTCAAGGAAGCTCTCCCCGCGTGAGCTATCCTGCGTCCTACCTAGGAGCGAACTTAGTCTAGTAGCTTACTAGAGTGTCTGTCTTAATTAAGTAGGCACCTACTTACTTAAGTAGGAAAGGGCTTTTAAACATAACCCCCTCAATTTTGTACTTCGTTTGCCTTGCTTTATTGCGTGGCTTGTCCTTCCTGGTGGAGGAATCGTTTCACGGAGTTCAGAGCATTCGAGGCCAATGAGCTGAGGTGGGATTGGCAGATTTCTCGGTATATATATATATACATGCAAATAATACATTTATAGTTATTTCATTTGCAATGCCAGGCACATGGGGTATATACACATTGTTGTTTATCTAATTTTGGATCCTTTGTTGTGGGTGCATCATTTTCTAAATGCTTGGGAGTTGCAGGCACGTGGTTCCAGGTTTTTGGAATTGTGCACTAGGCAGGCCATTCGCTCCTCAAGCACACCTAACATTGGCATGCAGCGACTTGGCAGCACCGCATAGCATCCCTGGAAAACCACAAATCAACCTAATAGCGATGGCCTCCAACCTAGCGATGGCCTCCAACCTACGAGCCATGGCCTCCAACCTACGAGCCATGGCCTCCAACCTACTAGCGATGGCCTCCAACCTAGTAGCGATGCCTTATAATCCTTGTTTCGCGTGGTTCTTGCTATTGGTGGACGGAAAGCGGAGTTTTCGCACACATGGAGAAGCGCAAAGCCGTGTTTGCTCCAGGCGAACCTTGTCGTCAAGCGCGGGGGGCGCTGCTGAAGTGCTTACGAAGCAGGAGCTGCTGATCCGCCTCCTGTGTTGGTGGCATGAGTCATTCAAGCAAACTGTGCGCCCATGAAGGCAGATGAAAGGATGTAACTCATAATAATTAGGTTGACTCATTTTAACCACATCTGCGTGAAATTGGAGGTAAGCCTAGTTATATTATATTAGTATAGATGCCTGCCATGCTTGTGACTTGTGATTTCATTTTGTGGTGCTGCGACAGAACTCCGCGCTCACTACCGCAAAGACAAATACTCTCCGTTTAGACGCGCTCAACAAGTTCATTGTTGAGAAAGAAAAGCACACAGGCCAGAGGCTCAGCAATGCTCTCAGTAGACCCTCGGAACATCTTCAACACGCAAACCAATGGACAGTATAGATCTCAAACCTGAATGTATCACCAAGCATGTTGTGTCAATCGATGCCATTCACCTTTATGGCCTTTAGGCATTGAGCGCATGTTGTCAGCAAGCCGTGATTTGTCCCAACTATCAGTCACCACCCTCACACCGTCCAACCTGCCTATGACGTGTTTTGCTTGGAGGTGGTGCCAAGCAAGAGCAAGCTGCACTGAGTTTCTAAGTTTGAGAGTGGGCAACGGGCAAAGGCTGTGAGAGCTGTTTGCAGCTGCAAGATCCTACAAGCTCATGATTCGACATGATTCGACTTATCCTTATTTTTAAGTCTGATCAGCGGCACCGCTTTTCGGACCTTGGGCAACTCATGCCAAACGTTAATACAGAATGTGGTCGTTTCATTCCTGCTGAACATCAGTCCCAGGTTGATTTCATTCAGATTATGTTTTCCCCATGCGTTGTGACTAAGGTTTTGCCAGAAAGTCTCAGCCCTTGGTCAAGCCGTACCCCATGTACGATGAGCTCTACAACTTACCACTGCGGGACATCACCTGGGTTTTGGCTATGCATGGCACGCCGATGTTGATCTCTGAGTTGATTGCGGGCACAAACCTTGTCGTTGACATTCACAGTGGCACGTGCATGTTTAGTTGCACAGGCGCAGATTGGAACCTTTTGTCAGAACTGGACCCAGAAAAGTGATGGAGTCATCATCTATGATGGTAGAAGGTGATCGCTATCGACACGGAGTATGTTAGCATCGTACCGGTTGACTAGCCGACTATGCGTACCTGTGAGGACCCAGATCGGCCTCGCGAGTTTCCGGTGAGTGCGGCCGCTGGGGCGTTTTAATCGAAGGAGGGGACTCAACTGAGCGATGCGCAGAGTGCCAAACTCACAGGACATTTATGCAACTTGTTTGTGTTTTGATGTCTGATACTCGGACTTGGCTAACTGAGCCATCAAAGATGCACACTTCGAGTTGAGACTGATGGCTTGGGCTTGCATGTGTTCCGGAGAAGTGTTTCGTGCCTAGTTCTTCGGCTTCGTCGAACGCTCAGGTAAGCTGTTTGTTGGGGTATCAGCCGCCCAAGAAAGCCCTGAGACACGGGATGTCCGGGTGTCCCAGATGATCCCAGATGTTCCTAGGAGCAGTTTCGGATGCTTGATCTTATGTAGGGGGAAAGGCTGCATGTATGAACCCAATGTGACAGAGTCACTTTGGAGAGCAGGTCAATGTTTTTTTGGCAACCTCTGCCTGTTTGAAGGCACATGGAGATAGATGGATAGTCGATAGATTGATAGATCGGTAGGTAGATAGGTAGATTGGTAGATAGATACATGATATATATATATATATACCAAAAAGAAACAATCACATGCATCATCAATAAAGACACAAATAGAGAAATCGATAGATAGATAAATAGATAGATAGAAAGAGACTGTAGATAGATAGATAGATAGATAGATGGATAGATAGATAGATAGAATTAGATCGATAGATTGATTGATTGATCGATTGATTGATCTAAGCTACAAGTAACATCATAATATAGCATACCTTCAATGTCTACACATGTGTCTTAGCCAGGTTCATAGCTTGGAATACCCTATCCGCATCTCTTGAAGTGGACACTGTGCTCCTAGAGCAGTGATCCTTGAGTATGTTCGAGGACTGCGTCAACACAAGTCTACACCTCAACCGTTGTTGAAATGTTCAGTTTGCCAAAATATGTAATCCGGCGTCCGCAAAGTAGTAGCGTAAGTAGCTAGGAGCCTACTTACTGAATTCAGGCGCCCACTTACTCCGCTGGGAAAATTGATGAGGTGACTTTTATTTATTGCGCCAGGTTTAGGTATCAGGGGCATTCAGGTGTGTTGCGCCATCTATGCGCCCCGTGGCTAAAAGAACAGGAAGATTCTGCATGATTTTGTGCGCTATTTTGCAGAAAATAGCGGAGATTGGGACCGCTCGATCTATTGCCCCACCACAAAAGGACATCAAAAGGAAACGAATAAGTTCAAGAGGCAAGAGGAAATCAAGAAGAAATATGAGGAAATCACTATTGGTACCGGGCCACACATTTTTTGCTCAAAGGTCTCTTCTTCACATTATAGCCAGATTGCAGCCGGCAGGCCAAATGTACAGAACTTGGCCATTGGGCCATCTATAGGCCCCAAACGTTTTTTGGGAAATAGGGAAAACTAGTATCCGCACAGACACCCCGCAAAATTTTATTTGTCTGCAATCCAAAGACCAGTTGCGCCATCTATGACGGCCAAATAGCGAGAAAACGGAGTTACATGGCGCGGCTGTTCCCGCTATTTATTTTTTGAGTTGCGCCAACAACTTTCTGACCGGTGTAATTAAGTAGGAGCGGGCCAAAACAAGCAAGAAACTTAAACACGTGTTACTTAGTATTCCCAAGATGCTTAGCATAGCATGATTTCAAGCAAGCATAGCGTGCAGGTCCAAGAGCCTGAACAGCAGCATGGTGAGCACAGGAAGGTCGAACATGGGTGGATCCTTGGACTGAGACTGCTGCGCTGGGGGGGGGGAGGTGGTTTGGTTTTATTCATGCCATAATGCCATCCACACAGAGGAGGCTCTAGTCACTAGTCTTCATGTCACGAGTCCTTGAACGTCCTTGGTATGTTCTGAAAAACAATGCCCGCTACCAGGCCAAGACCAAGCTGAAGCAGTGGACGAAACTGCATAACTTGCAACCTCCTGCACTGCAACTCGGATGGCACAAGCCAACTTGCAGAGCAATTGCC